GACTTTTACTTTAATAAAATGATAAAAATGTACTTCTTCGAAATAAAGCGTAACATTACGTTACCGTGCAGTTATGAAGATATTTACATTTTTGTTGTAATGGTATGTATCGTTTCATAAGACAAATGGCTTGCAATAAAAAGCTGCTTAAATAATATCTATTTTGGTTATATTCGGTAATCATAAGCTTAGTTCTCTAAAATTAATTAAACTCATTACGGAATTAACGTTACAATTTGTAAGAAATTTTAAGTTTCTAGTTACGTTACACGGAAAGTTAAGTCATGAATTAAATATATTTGACAATCGTAAATTTCATATAATAATAAAGTTAAACTATTATAAAAGGCAGCAATTGTAACAAGATACAGGTACATTAATTTTCGAATAACAAAATTCTAAAATAATCTGAGACAGTCACTTTTTTTTAGTTAATATTTACTTTTCGACATTCACATTGACGTCTTGATTTGGAACATCTTATAGTTACGCAGTGTCAGTGAAAAAAAAAAGTTGTATCATTTTTCTTTGTCACAAATTCCTTACTTTATTCATTAAAAGGAATAATTAATCTTGTTTACAGTTCGGTATGACACCAGCATTGCTTGTATGAAAACACATAATGACTACACTGTTTCCTTTGACGTGAATTTAATAACCTATAAAAAAAAACAAGGGAAAAATACTTTACAAGATAATTTTTAGAGGTTTGATGATTAACATTTAGATAATGATTTTATGAAGAATAAAATTCAAAGCAGGTAAGCAGCATAATTTGCGTTTTTTTTTTAATAAAAATCAAGGTAAGGTTAAAACAGCTTATTTACAATGAAGGATTTATCTTTTGGAAGTCATTAAGGAACGGATGTGACTTTGAACCATTAATCTTGAAGATTAACGTTCGCGTTTAGTGATTCTGAAATCTGCACCATGCTGTGAACACGAGAACATTAAGTGCTTTATACGTATCACGTCAAAGATTTATACATTTTTTACAAATCTACACTATTATAATAAAGCGTAAACACACACTTTTTTGTTGCCTAAGATGTCAGCAATTATAGCATATTTTTGAAGAATTCTTTTTTAATAAAAAGCCCTACACTTACGTCATGCTTTAGGCTATAAATTTTCACGCCATTAAACTTTGGGGGTAAATATTTTGGATAAAACCCTAATGTGGGAAAGAGACCATAAGTTGCTGCCAACATCAAGGATGCAAGATTGCCAAGGTTTGTCATGTCATGTATTTTGACATTTGCTATTGATAATTTGACAAACGTAAACCATAAAATAAAATGTTCATAATTTCATGCGGATGAAGCCGCACGGGAACAGCTAGTATTTTATAAACTCATGAGATTGGTTCCTCGAATGCACATGATTAAAACCTTATTTAGTCTGAAAAATCTTAAGAAAAGATTTAGTTTGCCTTGGTTAAATAAATAAAAACCTATACGGAAACAGCAACTACTATATAAAATAACCTTAATATAAAATTTAATAATACATGCGATTTTCGAGGGACGAGTATGCCACAAAAGAGGACCGACCCAATGCCGCTATATTGCATCCGAAAATAAATCCGTCTAACCTTACTTGAATATAAAAAAGACTAGTTTCTACAATGTAAAAGAAAAATCTACTTTTATTTTGGAAGTAATAAAGATATGAATCTGTGTTGAAAATTTCACAAAATTGAAAATTATTTAAACCTATAAATAAAAAAAATGAATAATTCATAAAATAAATTGCCAAATAATTAAGTTTTCCCAAATCTAAAGATCTCTGTATGTATGCGGATGATACTGCAATAGTTTTCAGTGGCTTGACTTGGCACGAAGCTTTGCTGAATGCTCAGGTGGGCTTGTCCAAGGTTCGCGTTTGGCTCCAAAATAACCTCTTGACGCTCAATGTAAAGAAGACCAATTAGGTGTGCTTTCATAAAACAGCAGCGTCGGCTCCCTAAATGACATCGGATTTGAAACTCCATCACTCTTGTGATATGGATGATTGCGACTGTGAGTCTCTGACTATAGTTAGTGTTGTAAAATATCTAGGCATCCTCATAGATGAAAAACTAACCTTTAAAGACCACGTTGAATCGCTAACGTCCCGGGTGAGGAAGGTTATCGGCATCATGAGAAAACTGCGAGATGTGAACAGCTTGAACATTTTGAAAAGCATATACTTTGCACTATGTCAATCTCTTGTGACGTATTGCATATCTTGCTGGGGCGCTGCGAATGCCACTACCATGATCCGAATTGAAAGAGCTCAACGCTCTGTCTTACAAAGCATGATGAAGAAACCATTTCGGTACCCACCTTCAGATCTATATAGAGATTCCGGCATGCTGACCGTAAAGGCAATTGTATATTTATAAAACTTTTATTATTGTTCATAAATCATTGTTCGGATCTGCCGAACACAAAGCTATGTTAGCTCGCAGAATCCACCGGTTACCTACGCCTTCAGTTAAAACACTCTTTGCGCAACGCACGGGTACTTTTATTCAAAAACATATCTACAATTCTGTATTAAAACACTGTGACTTACTAGAAAAATCTCTGCCACAAGCCAAGTCCTGCTTACTGAAATGGTTGCTAACTTTAAATTATAATGACACTGTGAACCTTCTGAAAATTTCTAACACTCCGCATTTCTAAGTAATCTTGTTTATTAGGAAGTTTATAAATATTTATTACATACATACATATAAATATATATATATATATATATATATAACACAGATATTCTTACATATATAACATATATTATTTATTCTCATTCAAGTATTTAGTTTTATTGTTACATCTTATTTTATTTATTCTATACATATATCATATATCATCTTGCATATTTATTTTTCTTTCATAAATTCATAATAATACCGAAACGCCGTAAGCGTAGGTTTTTAATTATTATTGTATAAAAATATTTTTCCTGCTGTTTTCGATGCCCACGATACAGGTATTGCCTAGTGTGGGCATCACTAGATCAATCACATTTTATCCACTATTTGTATTTATCTTTTAATTGGTTATAACTTTTATTTTATTGTTAATTATTAATCTGTTATTTTTCAATAAATTTCAATTTCAATTTTAACGTTTTTGTATGTTTCTTTTTATTCATATACATATATAAAATATAGCATATGCCATATCCAGCAATTATTCAAATTACATATTTTTTTTTTTACTTTGCTTGCGGATATTCGTATTTGCTATGGTACACGTACACGGCCAACCAACCATAACCATAACAAACAATTTTATAAAGGCAACTGCACCAGATAAGTGCAGTAATACTTCAAAAATAACTAGAATTCGAACCCAGGACCTTTGCAGGTCACGATGTTTTCCTAAAGATTTTTACTGTCCATAGGATTTAGGGTGAGTCAAGAAACCAAACGATACTGTCAATTTATTCGATGCAGCGCCATCTAGTGTCGACTGGAAATGATAATTAATAATGAAGTTAAATAATGTTTTCGGATTACTTTCTAAAATAAATTTTTACAGACTAAATTTTTTAATATAACACATTAAATAATAAAAAAATGCTGTTACAAATTATAGGCGCTGTTGTGAACGGAAAATAAACTGTAAACATCTCTTGTTATCACAGAGTGACGATAACCATAACATAAGAGATAACAAAATGTTTTCATATGAATATTTCCATGTTGGAAATCAGTAAAATATGAAAATGTTATATACCTAAAATAATTAATTTTATTATTTGTACAATAATTACTGCCCATTCCAGTTTATCAATAGTATTGTTGTAATTTGCAAAAATCTGTGACTAGAAATCAACGCCATCTTTTGTCGTATAACAGCATAAAATGTTTTATATTCGTCACCTTGCCGAACGCCACCGCGCCATTTCGACTGATGATTTGCATTACCACGGAAAGTAAAAAATTAAGCATACTTCGAAAAAATGAAGAATTGATTGAGAAGCCTTCTCAAAGGTTAAACGTACATAGGTGTACATTGATTTTTATGTGTAAAAAGGTCAAATATAATTTCATTACATGGATTTTTTATATGGATTTTAATTTGCATAAACAAGCGTTCTCAATATAACGATTTTTAATTAATATAGGACAAAAAGTAAAGAGCACTTTGTAATGAGCAAAAAATAGTAAAATTGTTAGAACCGTAAAAAGTTACTTGTATTGTGAGTGAAAACAAAAAAAAAATGTTTAAAGTGTTGACGACGCCTGGTGTCCAGTATCAATTTATTAAGCGTCCAATATTAATCAGGGTTAATGGTTTACATTCAATTAGTCTTGGGTTCGGTTTTTGTGTAAACCTACCGCTGAATAAGTCTTCACAACGGAGTATCTTTTAACATAAAGGGGGTAATGAGGTCTGAATAACCCTCTTAATTAATGATGGAATTAATATCCTATTAATTACAGACGGCTTGCAGACTGTTGAATTAAATTGTTAGGATTTAAAACATATCAAAAGACACGCTGCGCGTTGAGAGATCATGAAAGAGTCTTAACCAATTTTATTTATACAATATTTTAAAAGGATAATTCTGAAGATAGCATTTTTAACATATATCGTTTATGTACTTCAGTAATTACTTCTGGTTAATTTGCATATATTGCAGCAAATAATAATAATATAACCGAGTCCGTTTTAATCTCTTTAATATTGTCTAATTATTACACTCCGTTGCCTCAGTGTTTTAATAACATTAAGTACCTACTTTACTGAAATATGGGTTCCTAACGTGAATTTGTATTTAATAAATTGGTTTAAAAAATAACAAATTCCCTTCCTCATCGACATCATTACCAGCTACGTATACGTCCCTTCTGTGGGTCTCGGAGCGTATCCTAAGTTAGGTGACTAGGCCATAGTCAACTACTCTGGCCAACTGCGGGTACTTCACACATATCTTTGAATTCCCATTACACACATTACCCATACTGATAAAGATTGAGATATAGGCAAATAATATGGCTAACTAGAAACGAATCGATTCTGAGACAAGATACAGCAAGGGGCGGTCTCATGACCTTTCCTGACCCGAGGTCCTGCACACCCACGGCTCAGTGTAAGGCAAAGAACAATGAAGGTCTACTAGACGTCAGTCAACCCGTCGTGGGTATGATCACCCAGGTTATTGTTTAACTAATTTTTATGGATGGTTTTAAAAATTATAAACACTAAATTTCTTTTAGTTTTTACTATCTAATTTACCGTATAACCACCAATGTAACAATATCTTTCAAACACAAAGGTCACAATTAGAAAAGTACATTATTTCTCGACGTAAGCAGACAAATCTTCAATAATGTAATGTTTTGTGGGAACTTTATCGAAAATTTGACTACTGAAGATTTGTACGTATTCTATAGTTTTGTCAAAGAACACTTTTCCGAAGGTGTCCAAAATCACTTTCCAATGTTCGTTCATGTACTTTATAATGTTTTCGCCTGAAAAGAAACATATGTTAGTGACAAAAAGTAAGAAAAAGGATCATCAATTTAAAATTGGTTATTTTATTAATTAATAATCTACCAGCTTTTGCTCGCGACTCCGTCACGTTGAATTAAACAGTAAGTAGCCTATGTGTTCTTCAGATTATGCTCTACATCTACGAGTATGCCAAATTTCATCTAGATCCATTAAGCCGTTTAGGCCTTAAACTCAAACAAGACAAAACAAAGTTCCGTCTTGTAAATTCATAAATACTACTTAACTGTTTTTAAAACATTACAGAAAAGGACTTACTAGCTTTGCTATCACCGTCTATTAGATTATCTGCCACAAACGTTGCCTTTCCTAAAACTTTCAAACTATACGTCAAGTCTTTTTCAATTTTCAGATATATGTCATTGCCTCGTTTCTCCAGTTGGTACGGAAAGTCAATTCGGGATTCAATTTTATCTGTTGAGATAAAAGTCATTGATGTAAGAAACAATTTGCAATTTCCGTACGTAATTTTGTCATAGGTATGTTATATTCCTTACCAATTATGACTTTAGCGTGTCCTGCCCCATGTACCTTGTCACCGTTTCCCTGAATGTTCAAAAGCGAACGGACAAGTTCTACTTGATAGTTTCCCTGCACCTCGAGGTGTTTACAAAAAACTTTCACTTTCGCATGTCTGTTTTCTATATCGTTCCTGAAAAGTATATTTATATTGCAAGCTCATACAAGAAATGCTAAAACAAATTATTTTATTAGTTACGTTGTTGCTCAATGTGGACTTACCTATAACTTTTAATAGTGCAAGTCTTTATTCCAGAAACGTCGCCCTTTTCGAGAGTCAGGTTTAGTAGATCCAAAATAGACACGTGGACATCTTTTAATTCCATCGGATCAATTTTGTTTACACCAATATCTGTTGCGCCTTTTTCCGCTAACGTTTCAATCAGTGTTTGATAAGAGTTCTTGAAACATTCATTATCCTTTATGCTACATTTTTGTAAAGTATCCACTAAAACATTGAAAAGTATTTGGATTGCATCACTTTTAAGCTTGAAATCTTACTAATATTACAAATGCAAGAGTTTGGATGGATGGATGGATGTTTGTAGCCTTAACGGATGATCGCATCTCGATGAATTTGGCATAGATATAGAGCATAGCCTGGAAAACACATAGGCTACTCACTTTTGTTTTTATTAATTCCATGCGAACAGAGTTGCGTCTGAAACCTAGTTTATTAAATAAATATGAAGTTGGGACGTCATCTATAATGTTCCACCAATGATTACAAATCGAATGACGAGTATTTTAAAGTTTTGCGAAAAAATAGGATCTTATTGTACTAACCCATTTTTTCATTTGTCTAAATCCCTATCGAATGTTAAGGTCACGGTATAAAAGGGTAGAATTATTAAAGCTAAAGTGTGTTTAAGCCACTGTAAGTTTTTTTTATGATAATAGGATTTTTTTTAATTACTTACAAATCATCCATCAAAATACAAATTAATTTGTTTTCATTTAAAGAAATATTTCCGTATCTAACAATCCCTTAATTTAAATGATTTTGACTTACCAAATGCTGATTCACATAAAAGACTAGAGGTTGCAGCCAAAAATATGAAACACTCCTTTACTATATTCATGATGCTGTCTGTTTTTGATGGAACCTTTTTGAGATGTAATAACAACTTAGCAGCATTCGCCACATTTATATGAAATCATATGTACTTAACTGATTAAGTAGCAAGGATTAAAAAAAAAATCTCAGCACCTTGTACAATAAAAACCTTGAATATTAACTAATATGTGAAAAAATATTAACTTAAGATTGTTTCATTCTTCTGCCAGTATGTTTTTAATCGCTGTTTTCAGATGTCGATCATTAATTTGAAATTATCACAATTTTTTTTATTATGTAAGGTGACATTCTTTGATTAAAAAAATAACATAGATGCGTAACGTAAGTGTAAGGTTAGATTGCAAACAAATTATTTTTCGTAGATAGATATATATGAAAAAAAAACACACTAAGCAGTAACGAAATAACTCCACGATTTATTTAAACCTCCCTTACTGTACCTTTAATATCTAACTCTTTTTGCGAAGTCGGTCAAAAAGGTAGGCTTTGTAGATACGGTTAACAAAAAAGACAATGTCAATAAATTGGTATATTATTTCTTATCTAACAATGTATTTAAATCTATTTGTTAATATCACAGGTATGGGCTCAGATCATCGGATATAAAATGTTTTGCTGGAACATGGTCGAAGAAATTCCTCGCAAAGAGATTATAATACTCGGTCGCTTTGTCAATGAAAATTCGTCCAAATGTTTTCATTATAAACTTCCAATTGTCATTCAGATAATTTACGACGATTTCGCCTGTAAAATTAATGAAAGAATTTACGATTTATATTTGTAAACGAGAATTAAGATTTTTTTGGCACAGTTTGTCTAAATAACATTGATTAGTTTGATAAATGACGCATATGAAGTGTCGAATTAAATTTGTATGAAGCATGCCGTACTTAATAGACAGGTATCGTAGTGATGAAACAAACACTCATAGGGAACAACTATGACCTATCGCTATTCGGTTTAAATAAAATTTATTGAAATTAACTAAAATTTATTTCAATAGTGTGGAGCATATAGCGATGACAATAATAACGAAATCCAATTTCGATTATGTACGACTGTAGTAGTAATAACATTTATTTACTCTCATTATTTGTATTGGTTCTGCACGTCATTATTGATTTGAAAAAACAGTGTTTTTTTACTATAATCCATAAGTTAAAACTATGAACCTATTGATTCCACCTTCTTTAAGAATAAAAATCGAAAAGTTGCAACGTGTGTTCTAGGGTTTTTTATTAAAGGAATTATTCAAAAATATGCTATGATTGCTGACATTTACGCCACAAAGTGTGTGTTTGCGCTGTATTATATTAAGTACATATAAAGAAGATAGGTAGATATAGATTGTTATTAAGAGGACTCGAAACCAACGTGTAAGATGGTTCGTGGTTTCTGTCTACCCCTCTTGGTTAAAGGCATAAGTAATGTTGTTATTCATACTGATACTTACTGACATTCTCTTTGCCCAGATAAATGTTGTCCGCAGCAAAGGTTACCTTGCCCAAAATATTGAATCTTTGTGCCTTTTTGCTGTAGTCGCATTTAAGGTAAATTTCACCGTCATCTTTCTTATACACACCTACAGGATACTCAAATACGAGTCGAATCTTATCTAAAAATGTAGTTAACATCATTGCATATCAAAAATTAACAGCATTCAAAAACGCAATTGCAATACCTACGAATTTAAATAGAATAGTTCTTATACTAAATGCACGACAGTACAAGTCCTCAGTATGCATAAAATTGTTTTGCATACGGCAATTACTTCTATAAACAGAGTTCCAATTCATCATTAAAAATAAAAATGACACCAACCAACAAGACTAAAGAGATTTAAAAACAGGTACTGCTTTAAAACACTGCATACATTTTAAGGGTGTAAATTATATTGTAACAAAAATGTTACTTCTTTATACGAACTAGTAAATTGTTTTATTAACATTAGTTACGTAAGTTTCCAGATCATAGTCGTATATCTCGATAATAATTACTATTACTACATAGTATCAGATAATTGACGTAAGTTTTTAATAGTCATAACATTTACATATAGTTATTCGTAAGGAGATTATTTTATCTGAGTTACGGTGTATGATTTTAAGCCAGATTATCCGTCTGCTAACGTATTTCATACCAAGGTAATGTGAAATTCATCTTATACGATTAGTTTACTTCAAGATGACTCTCAACATAGTTGCCGAGTTGCAGTTTGGTTAAGAACGGAATAAATTTTACAAGGAAAAATATACAAAAATAATTTTGTTACTTACATACAAAAGAACGTTCAAAAGGTATATAGGTAAGTAAATATTTAGTAAATTATAAGGACCTTAGGTTTAGACATTTTTTTTACACCAACGAGATATAAGCCTGCCACAAACAGTTAGCTATGACTTAGCGTGTTTTTGTATCTATACACAGTTAATAAAATTGGTGTGTTTGGATATAATATCGAAAAATGTCCAGATTACGCTAAGATGATGTATTTGCGTCGCTAATAACGAAAATCGTATTAAAAAAAAGTAATGTTTGTTCTCAATAATCTTAGAAACGACTAAGCCGATTTTAAGGAACTTTTACTGGCGGATAGCTGATATGAACAGATAAATTATAATCTACTTTTCCTCACTGAAAATATTATAAATACTATTTTTAATATCGCATAACGAAGTTTGCAGTCAACATTACATTGCTAAATAATTTTATCCCTATTATACAAGGGAATTTAGATTAACAAAAACTGTAATCTATATACATATATAGGCAATACAGACTAGATATGTTTTTCATACCTATTTTAACTTTTCCTTGTCCGTCTCCTACTAATTCGGAGTCTCCGAGAATAACTGCGATCTCCGGTGATGCAGCGTCCACGTGATAGCGTCCCTTGATTAATACATCACACAATAGTTCTTGACTACCTGTACCCTTTTCAATATCGATGCTGTAAATTGTACAGGGTTAAGTTTTAGTTTTTTTTTTATATAATAAAAGCGGGCAAACGAGCAACGGATCGCTTGATATTAAGTTATCCGACCCCCATGAACATCCGCAATGCCAAGGATACTGCAGATGCGCTGCCGGCCCTAAAGGGAGGAGGAGTACGCTCTTTTCTTGAAGGCCCCTAAGTCGCTACCAGTAAAATTCATGTAATCTTACTTCTTACTAATACAAAACTTTGTACGGATATTTTTACAGTTTGCTGAATGGATCTCGATGTAGCACATAGGTATGTACTTTTGATTTATTTTTGCTCCACGCAGACAGCGCAGCGGGCGAAAGCTAGCGTATGTTAAATACGTTGTCTTTTTATAATAAAAATATGACATTGTTATGTAGTTAGTTAGATGCAATGAAAAACATCAAAGAAAACTTCTCGGCCATGTTGCGGTGAAGTGAGTGTGCAATCCACTAAAAACTTTCGTATGGGATTTTTATTTTTTTTTATAACTCCTACTCTTTTTCGTTAATATAGAAGTAATATAATATTTGTAAAATGACTTATTTCAAAAGGAATTAATTACATTATTATTTATAATTCGTTAAAACTTTACTGTATAACTACGAAAATAAATTTGAATGAATAGTTTTATATTTATAAACTTTCAGGCACTAAAATCGAGAAATTAAAGTGAAACACTTAAGCACTACCTTGGTGAAGATGTCTCATTTTTAAACACTAACGCTCTAATACTGAAACGATCTTAAACATGTAACAGCATCTTAAACGATAAGGACGCTTAACCTCCAAAAATAATTGAAATCTTGACTTCGGATTGCAAAAGGCACTTACGAAGCTATGAGTTTAATGCTGGGTTTCTAAAGTTCCCACTTATTTTGTCATTACCTAGTGACTCATTAGTGTTAGGTTGACACAAGTTTCAATGTAGGAAAACTCAATTTACGGTGTTCGGAAACGCATTTCATGAATTATCGAACTGAAAACACTAAGGAATTGTTAAACGCAGCTGGAAACCGGCCATAAGATTCGCATCACTATTCAGCCGTAAGTGAAGCGCAATATAATTTGAGTTGGTTGAGCTTACAAATAAAATATTGTAATTAAATAAATCATAGCTCCAAGAAGACATAAACAGAAAAAATAGTAACACTTACTCGTAATTGATAAATTTGCAATCCTTTATGCCAGTTACAACTCCTTCGACAAATGTGAGGTTAATCCAATTCATAACCTCAAATGACACATCCTTTATTTGAATTGGATCGATAGGTGGAATATTTAGATCAGGTATACCAGTTTTTCCAATACGTTGAAGCACACTCTCAAAAAGTTTACTTTGACATTTTGGTTCTTTGATGCCGCATTTAGTTAATGTATCGACTGAAAAAAAAAACTTTTATTGATTATCTTATTCAAGACGTTTGTTGTTTGAGAAATAAGTAAATTAAGTAAGATTTACCAAATGAAGAATTACTTGAATCCACAAAAAAACAGATTAAGATAACACTAAAAGTTAATTTGAAGGCGCTAGGAGACATGTTTGCGCCACAAGTGTTGTAAAATATTAATCTAGCCACGCGATGTCTGTTAATAAATAGTAGAATCGCACACTAACTTGCGTACATATATATCTGTTATTATTAAAGGTAAAACCAGTCCTGTCCTGAGGTCAGATCTCGTGTTCATAAGGAAAAAAATCCTCCTTTTGTATACGATTGACAACATCTTAACAATAAAATTGCATGTACGAAAAACCATAGTTTAAGTTACTTGTATTTGGAAAATTATCGTGGTTTTTTTTTGGAAAACTCAAGTTTATAGGTAAGACATTTAGACACCTTCATTTTACTTATAAATCTATATATACATACATATAATTAAATTGGGGTGTGTAGAATATGAAAAGAAAAATTCCAGATTTCTGGAAGACGTTGTATTTGTTGATAAAGAAAATCGCATTAAAAATGTTGTCCGTCTGTCTGTCCGCGAACCGCGTTTGTTCCGGGTGATCTCCGAAACGGCTGGACACATTTCAACCGGACTTTCACTGAAGAGTAAGTAACTAACGTCAGAGATTTTTCTTTTTTTTTTGTAGTATAAGGTGGCAACCGAGCAAATGGTCAACTGATGTCGATACTTAAGTGGAATAAGCAACCAAATAATCATATCTCCGACAGTTATCGATGCGTTGCTTAGTTTAAATAAACTGAGAAGGGAACGTACAGAAATAGGTTATTTTGCCTTTCTATAAGTCTGTTCCCGCGCAGAGGTTACTTCCTACTCCTATTCTTTCCTTACGAGAAGAGAGTAGAAAGGGTTGTTACCCTTGTCCCCATCTTTAGAATAAGGGCGCAGATGTGTTACTTTACTTTTACTTAAGTAGGAGTAGTCTCTGTCCTTTGGGTGGTTGTGGTATTGCACCGATCGAGCTGGCTATTCGTGTAGTAACTAATTTAGCAGCTGGCACCATTATTGGAATATGTTCCATCTATCTATACTTCTATACTATTATAGTAAAGCGTAAACACACACTACTTTGTGGCGTAACTTGTCAGCAATCACTGCATATTTTTGAATAATTCTTTCTTTAATAAAAAGCCCTACACTTACGACACGCTTTACGCTATTAAACTTGAGGGATAAATAAATTGGAAAAAACCTTTATGTCGGAAAGGTTGCCATAGTTTGTCATCATGTCATTTTGACATTTGCAATTGATAATTTAACACATGTAAACAATAAAATAATGTTTTCATAATTTTATGCGGATGAAGTAAGGAAAGTAGTGTTCTAATAATCAACAAATCAGACGTACAGTAAATTACTAATAATTAGTAGGTAAGAAGTTAATTAATGGTAACTTATTCTTGATGGAAATTATAAAAACTGGTCGTAGTAATCACATCAACTTCAAACTACATACAAACAAGTAATGTCACAGTTTGTAGCTTAATTACAGTAATTTCAAAGCATCGAAGTTGCACAATCAAGAAGTCTTTGAAAATGCGTAATTTTTCCATCAAACCTTGAGACTGGAAGTTTGATATCAATTTTGAAAATATGACGAATGCGTAAACGTTTCTGTCAGATCATCATATAGAGTCGTTATGGACTAAATAAAATAAAAAAAACTTTTAAATTATATTCATCGCGTACTGCTCGGTCGTGTTATTCACGGTTAATAATTCACCGACAAAAACACGAAACCAAAGATGTTTTCCTTAAACAACAAATCCAGAACTAGTGCCTTAAAAAACTCGTCTGGCCAATTTTTCTTATGGGTTACATGAAGATCGTAAAACTCACATGAATGCCGTACTAAATGCATGACATCAAAACATAGTTGTTTTACACGAGACAAGAGCTTTAGGGCTACACTGACTGTCAGTATCACCAGTTGTTACTCATAGTTGTTACTGTTACTGTGTGGAATATTTTGATGCCTCCTTCAGGACTGGAAATAAACATTTTCACTCAAAGAAAACATTTCTTTATGGTTTAAAAGAAGAATATTGCTTTCACAAATTTTTAGTAATTCTTTGACTATAATTCTATTATTGTGTCCTAAACCACCCAATAATAGAATTGCAGTCGAAATCTGACAAATTAGCATTCTGTACTTTTAACCCAATTAAACAACAGTTAGTTACAATGATAAAGAATAATCTTACTTCTTTGTAACACTATAAATGCAAAAGTTTAGGTGGATGGACAGATGTTTGTTAGGTTTGTAGCTGCTGAACAGATTTCGTTGAAATTTGGCATAGTCTACAAAATACGATTATTTATAGTAACAATCAACCATACATTGTATAGATTATGAATAATTTTTAGTATGCAAATCGTGGTAGAGACCAGGAACTGGTTTTGAATTATTAATTTGTGATGTTTTTTTAATTGTTGTTTACGAATTCATAGCAATTACATTTTTAGCATTGAAATATATTCTTGGTTGAAAACCGTTTCCGCTTCTTTCATATCAAAGCGTGTAATTTGAAGGATTCGAAACGGAAGGTAATTGAGAATAAAGAGTTAATGCTGGGTAGAGCTCAACCAACTAAAATAATTGTATCCCTACACTTGGTCCTAAAAGGTGGTGAACTTCAGTATCAAAGAATAAAAAGCATGAATTAAAATAAAATGAAATATTGTGGTGTCTTACTGATATTGTAGATGCGAAAGTTTTGATAGATGGATGATTTATAACACGGCTAAATTTAGTACATATTTAAAACACAGTCTGGTGTAACACTTGGGATATGGTTCATTCCCGAAAAATGTCAGGTTTCCGAGAGATACATAGTTTTTTTTAATACTGCGCTTACAAAGTCGCGGGGAATAGCTTGTGTATTATATTCAATAACAATAAGTTTTTATTTTTATTCAACCAGTTCGTTTGGTTTTAAACAAAGCAAGTAAAATTAAGTTTTAAACCGAGTTAAAAAAGGAGGAGGTTCGCGATCCATCTGCTTGTTTTATTTTATGTGTTTTATTCGTTCCTCCTCATCGTCCGGACATATAAAAAAAAATTAAGATGCAACATACTACGTTTTTTATTCGTTTACATCAAATGTATAGTTTGCACAAGTCTAAATTAGTTTTAAATTAAAGACAAATTAAATAGTATAGTATGTGATATTTTGTTTGTATGATTTTTATCCCCATAATGATACTAAAGAAATTAATAATCGAACTTCAGATTTACTAAAAATCGAAAAATGAACAAAAACTCAAACAACAAAAGAAAACCGTTTGCAGAATAGATAATACTCGTATTCTCAAATAAAATACACTAGAAAGTGGCAAATAATTTCTTGTTTTACGTCTATCTAGGTTAGTTTGAACCAAGTTTGGTACAATGCAACTGAGTACGGTAGGAAGGTAAACGGAAGACGCCGTCCGTTTTATATTAGCAATTATATACTTAGATTTTTTGATCAGAAATATAGAAGGCGTTATAAAAATATTTTTAATTTACAAGTTAAATATTGGTTTACGACACTTTTCAATTGTGCTAGAAATTTTAAGATTCTCTAATTTAATAAAAAAAAAGTGTTCAGACTTTGTACAATTTTACAGTTATTTTCTTAAAACGTTCTTACCCAATTCATATGAAATATCAAAATAACAGAATTTTATGCGTTCCATAGACAACTTCTAAGATTATTTGTAATCGTCGCAGAATTAAGGCTCATTGTTTCTTGAAACAGATAATGATTACTTAAAGTATAAGCTTAAAGATTGCTGTACGATTAAAAGTAGGAAAGATTTATGCCCAAAAGCTCAAAGAATAATGTTAACTTGGCATAAATAAATTAAAAAACATATGACTATAAAAGTATTGCAATTAATATTTACAAGAGAACATATGTACATGTAATTTTTATGTAAATTTGAAAAATGTTACCCTAAATGAAAAAAGGTCGCCACGCCAACCCATGGATATTCTCAACCTAAGAATTGCGGATGCTTGAAGGAAGACTTCACTTCTTCCCTTAAGGCAGGCAACGATTTCTTCCTCATATCTATAGACATAGTGAAATTAAAAATACTAGGATAAAAATAGATATGTCCCGATATACTCATATAAATAGTATTTGTATCAAAAGTGGTATGTATGATTGCGTTTATTACTTAACAAACAAGTTCTAGCTCGTGTTGTAATAGTGAATCGGGGAAAGTGGGCCAAACGCGGACTTCGATAAATGACGGAGAAAAACCGTGGAAACTTAATTAAAAAACTTCGTAGTCTTAAGACTACGCAGTTTTTTAATTAATAGATTTGTATTATATCAAATAAGAATAATTTTAATTTAATATCTTATGATACTATATCTACATTTTCATCCAAATCCATGTAGTCGTTCTGGAGATACCCTCTAACATCTAACAGCCGTCCATGCAAACTTTCTCATTTTTTATAAGAAAAGGCTGCAAACGAGCAGTTAGACCACCAGAGTAACTGCAAATGCGTTGCTGGCCTTGGAGAAATAGATACGCTTGCTTCTCGAATTTCATAATGTTAAGATTGTTATTCATCACTGACTTTAAAAAAAAGAGATAATAATATGTTTGTGCACATGTATTTTGGCAATACAAGTACAGGGGATGTATTCTTACAGGACGTATACGCGTTGTGTCCGATTTGCTTCGCTACACTTCGCATGCGACCTCAAACAATTTACTGTGTTACAACATTTAAACACTCACGACCGTAATTCAATAGGTAAGCTGAGATTATGGATTTTTACTTGACACAATAGTTAATACAGCATTAACTAAGATTAAGCCTTCAACAATTTTATTGATCTTGGTCTATTGATTGTTGTTTTTTTTGTTATTTTTTAAATATTCAAGGTAAACGGAAAATCAATTAGAACGTATTTTTAAAATCGAATTACTATCATGACTTAGGTAATATGTTATCTATTACTGCTTATAGTAATTTATTTATATAGTTTTCAAAAAAATGTTCTATGTATGTATATTTGTTTTATTGCAATAACTACAAATCATGCAACTAGAATTTGTTGATTTAGTCGCAACTGATTTTTCCCGATATAGTAACGCCATTGCCAATAAGTCTTAAGTGTTT